GATTTTTGACCTGCATTTTTCATTTTTATAGATTTTTTTATAAAAAAAATATACATTTTTATTTTATTTTTATTCTTTATATGTACCCTCTTTAGTATTTTTTTGCTAATTTTTTAATTTTTTTTTTTAATTTTTTTTTTTAATTTTTTTTTTAATTTTTTTGATAAATTTCATGTACTGAAATTGACTACACATGACTATGTAATACCACAATCATGTATAGTTTATATGTTGTCATGTACTATTTTTTTACCGCAAAGTTATAGTCGATCGATTATGTAAACCGTCGATTTTATAAAAAAAAAATTCATCTACACCAACAAATAAGTTCACAATTTGAATCTTGATATTATAAATTAATTAGTACCCAACAAAAAAATTGAAAAATATACAATAATCAAGATCATTATACATCATAAAATCCACATAGCTTGTATATAAGTTTATAACTATATATTACTATATGGAACTATACATGACTATAGATTTATATAGTTATCTATACGACTAAATTTGACTCAAATCCCACTTTTCAGCACGGGAACGGCTTGTTTTGAACGATGAACACAAAGTCCACTTCGCAAAAACTTACAACATAGCAGTTCAACACCAAGACCTGCAAAAAAGAAAAAGAGTTAAACAAACAACGAAATTTGATTCAAATTTGAATCTGCACACACACACTATCACCTACTGATATACATGCACATCACCAGCATATACTCCTCACATACCTCATACATGACTACATATTACTATATGTTAATATATAGTAAAAATTATAAATCATAAATTTCAAGGGGTAAATCATAAAATTGGACCTAAAAGATTCACCAAGCATACAAAATTTCATTTAATTACTATAGGCATGTCATTCAAATGGCAGGAAAAATATCAAATTAGAATATTATGTAATAAACTAAAAAATGCACACACAGACACGAAGAACTCGATCAAACACGAAACTGATTAAAAAATCTAGCCAATTGAAACAACATATCAGTTGAGTCAAAGAATAGAGTCAAATTAAAGTCAAGTACAAATGACTATGGTGTACTACAAGTCCATATGTTACTAAATATGACCACATGTGACTGCAGTAGTAGATTTACAATAAATCACATTCATCTCAAAAGCACTGAATTGATAGTTGGTGCTATATAATTCATGAACTAACGCATGTTGTTGAATAATAGCAACACACGGACAAAAACATCAGCCACTCTTCATCAAGATTTATCAAATTTAATTTTCTTAAATATTTCCCGAAAACCCGAAAACCAGGAAAATTTGCTACATAGCAGCAGCTAATCTAACAATTGGGATTAAACAACTTCCATCATTTTACTCAAGCTAAACTCTATTCATAAAATTGAACTTCTAATTACGAAACATCTTAATCTCATAAACAAGATTTAAAGGAGAATCATATATATATATATATATATATATATATATATATATATATATATATATATATATATATATATATAGAAAATTAGACAATTCTTAGAATGTTGTCTTCTCTCTCCTCCCAAACCTTAGCTACATAAGTCTCTGCCTTTTCTCACAATGATGTTCGCAAAAAAAATATTTCACTCATGACAGCTAAAAAAGGAAAATGTTATTAGCCTGATTGATCCTCGACACATCGTAATTATTCCAGCCGATTATGATGAGATGATCATGACTCTTGCTCGTTATTCGAATGCAATTGGAACTTGTATGTTTCGCATCTTTCGATGGACGAAGGATTTCAAGTTTGATAAAGATTGCACAAAAGTAGCAGCATGGATTCGTCTACCGAAGCTTCCTTTTTAATTCTTCAATTTGCCCTATCTTGAACGAATGGGTAATCAAATTGGTAGCTTTCTTAGAGCCGATGCAAAAACCATTAATTATCAAAACCTGATTTACGCAAGAATATGTGTGGACATGAGAGCAAGGGCGGACCCAGGGGCTGAAATATCGAGGTGATTTAAGAGAAGATTTTTTTAGTGACTAAAGTTTACAAAATTAAATGTTGGGGGACGAAAAATGCATTAACTAATATATAAATAACAAATAAAAAAAAAGTAAAAAATAAGAAATCGTTAAAAAAAAAATTCTTGGGGGGCGGGGGGCCACCCCAAGCATATACATGGGTGTGCCCCTGCAAGAGAGGAAAAGGTGGTCACTAAATTTAGAGTGGAAGTTGCACAGAGAGCAGGAGAGATCAAAAGTAGGCAAGAAAAATGTCAACCTAACTTTGGTGGGACAAATGTTATTGAGAATTGTTAGAGTATATTATATTATTAGATATTATAGGATATTAGGATTTTATTATGATTCGGTTACTTAGATTAGTTAGGATTTAGTTATCTAATGAAACTTTATTACCTCGTTTTATTTCTCTATATATATTCCATGCAAATCAACCCATAACACAATGAAAGTTTCTATTCTATTACGTATTATTATTTCTCTCTTTCTCCTATTCTATTCTTCATATATGGTACCAGAGTACCAGGTTTTTTTACCTAGCGGTCTTTCTTCTCTATGGCGGTGACCACCCAATTTTCTCCCTCCCCGTGGTGGTACTCTAATATCTTTCTTCCTAGCCGCCATTTTCTCCTCCCCGTGGTGGTACTCTAATATCTTTCTTCCTAGCCGCCTTTCTTCTCCATGGCGGTGACCACTCAATTTTCTCCCTCTCCGGTGGTGGTACTCTTAATATCTTTCTTTTTCTATCTGTTCCATGAATACCACCCGAATTTTCTCCCTCCCCCGGTGATTCTGTATCTTTTCTCTTCTTCTTCTCCATGGCCTAAAACCTAGCCGCCGCCTCTCTTCTTCTCCATGGCCGGCGACCACCAAACCAACCACCAAACCAATTATCTCCCTCCCGGTGGTGGTACTCTTCTCTCTCTAAGTCTTTTTCTATCAGATCCATGAACACCACCCAAATTTCCTCCCTCCTCCGGTGGTGGTACTCTTGTCTTTTAAGTTATATTATTTTCTGACATCTTCTTCTTCTTAGTCGGATAATCTAATTTCTCTCTTTCATCTCTATTCTTCTTTGAATTCTTCTCCTCCCTCTCACGTATCTCTCTTTTTTAAGCATTTCAATAAATAAAATAAAATAAAATAAAATAAATCTCTATGATTTTGGCGAGATATTTTCACCAAGGATTTCTCCACTGCTGGATTTCGCGGGTTATTGTCCAGTCTTCACGTCAGATGTCTATTCGTTCCGACTGCAGGAGCGTGTTAGCAAGTGATTGTTCAGTCTTCACGTTCGTCACGTTTCAACTGCGGGGGCGTGTTAGAGTATATTATATTATTAGATATTATAGGATATTATGATTCTATTATGATTCGGTTACATAGATTAATTAGGATTTAGTTATCTAGTGAAACTCTATTACCTCGTATTATTTCTCCATATATATTCCATGTAAATCAACCCATAACACAATGGAGATTTCTATTCTATTACGTATTATTATTTATCTATTTCTCCTATTCTATTCTTCCTATAAAATTCTTCAAATAAAAAGGTTTGTGCCTGTTATGAAGTTTTGGCATTCCAAATAATTTTCATTTTTCCACTTTATCAAATGCTTTGGCATTATCAATTTTAATGGTCATAAACTCGTTTTTCTTTTTTTCTTTTTTTTTTTAATTTTTTAATTTTATATTTTATATTTTTTTTTTTGTCCTTTCTTTTTGTGTATGTAATTCATGACTCATGAGATGTAATAATGTTGTCATAAGTATTTCTCCCAGTAACAAAAGCTAGTTGAAGAGGACAGATTAAATTATCTAATAAAGGCTTAAGCATGCGTGCTAAAATTTTGGAAATGATTTTGTAAGATTTTGAATATTTTCTTTTAGTTGTTTCTGATAGTTTTTAGGTGTTTTAGTTTATTTGCGATTAAACTAAAACCAGTTGCATTACCGACTCATACTAGGCTGAGACTTTATTGGTTTTTACCCAACAACCGACCCATTAACGACTATATTTTCAGGCGGATAATAAATTTTTAACCGACCCATTGGATTACGCCGGCATTTTTACCAACACATCTATAAGCGTTGGTTGATGGTTTATGATATCATCAAACTTATGTTGATCGATAATTATCGGTCAACCTCCCATATTAATATTTTTTTTGTTAAAATTATATACAATAAAGGGTGTGGTTTTTTTTAAATGGATATAGAATGATCAAAATAGTTAGGATTTTAAATTAAAAAAAAAAAAAAAAAAAAAAGTTTGATATAAATCTTCCACCATAAATCGCTACCCATTTCAAAATCGAATATTTGTTTTCCAACCATCAACCGATCCAAAAAGATTCGGTTATAAATAATTTCCAAATTTAAGCAAAATTAATTTGTCGAGTGATTTTTTAGACCGATAATCTACTGACCCAACCGAATTCCAGCCCTAAATGATACAGTTGAGTGTTGACATTATATCGGAAAGAAGTGTGTGGCGCCCCTACTGCCTATCAATTAATTGATTTAAATGCACACTTCAAAATGTATATTGATTCTTATCAACTTTCTAGAATAGATTTGAGTGGTCACGTGAATCCATAAATCTCTAGAGCAATCCACACCTTTCACGATTTCAATTATAAAGGGCATATTGCATGTCACCCCCTATAAATTTCTAATTTCGCACTTCAAAATGTTGTACTTGTTGCACACTGCTCCGACAGTAAAATTTAATAAATTATTAACCGGAATAAAGTGTTTTTCTTTGCACGTTGCCCCTTTAAATGTTATTTTTGTTGTACTGATGTCCGTCGAAAATTAACTTTTGAGACAAAGTGCAACCAAAATAATATTTCTAGGGAATTATCTATTTTCTGGATTTTTAATGGGGAAAGTGTCGAAATGAAAAATTTATAGGCGGTGCTAACTATAAAATAAAAGAATTCAATTCTAAAACGACTCTACCCCAACCCCGGCCCACACTCTCTCTCTCTCTCTCTCCTCTCACTCATTCATTCTCTCTCTATAAATATTACAGAGTATAGTGTACCAATTTGCAGCTGAATTGAAGTCTTTTAAGTTTCTAAGAAAAAAAAAATGGCGGATGGGGTAGTTTTGCTGGATACATATTTTAGCATGTTTGGGATGAGGGCTAGACTCGCATTAGCCGAAAAGGGTATCGAGTATGAATACAAGGAGGAGAATTTGGGCGATAAAAGCCCGATTTTGCTCGAGATGAACCCGGTTCACAAGAAAATCCCGGTTCTTATTCACAATGGGAAACCGGTTTGTGAATCTCTGATAATTGTTCAGTATATTGACGAGGTGTGGAAGGATAATAATTCTCCATCTTTGTTGCCTTCTGATCCTTACCAGAAAGCTCAAGCTAGATTCTGGGCTGATTTTGTTGACAAAAAGGTACTACTTTTCTTGCCTTGTGTGCTACTATTCTATGATTTATTTTATTTTATATTTTTTTAAGGGCAAATTACGGTTATCCCGAGGAATGGCCAAAATATGGAAAAATAACTGCTATTATTTGGGTAATTACAGCCACCGCCTCATTTTAAATATTTTTAAATAAAATTTATGTAATTCGGTTATTTACCGTACCAAATCGTATATTCAGTTCGGTTAACCGTATAAAATGTTGGCGTACCGAAATTTTAGTTCGATTTTTCCGATTTAACACCCTGAAATTTACCACCGATGCCTGGAGGGGTTTTTTCGTAAGATAATACATAGTTGAAGAGGGTGGCTGCAATTACCCAAATAAAAGAATAGAAGAGGGAGTTTTTATAATTTGATCGTAACTCAGGGTGGCCATAATTTGCCTTTTTTAATTTATGCTTGTTTGGTTTGGGTGACGTGATATAATTAAATAAGATATAATATTTGGATGATGTTGTAATTTTATTGGGAGTCGATTAAATAACACGAATTTTGGATCGGATAAACCATCGACGAACAATACCAATATTAGGTCTCGTTTTTATTATTTCTCGGAAACGAATTCGTGTTTGATAAGCTTTTGAAAAATAACTCCTGCAACAATTTCAAACGTTTCTCTCTACTCCAACAAAATTTGACTACTAATATAAAAAAAAATTGACTTAATTGACTTTCATTTAACTGCTACACTATAAAATGTTTTCAATAAAAACCAAACAAACGTCACTTCATTTTTTTAATTTTTGTTATAAAATATATTTTTCCAACACTTTTAAACATGATTTGACCGTACTAGTGTATTTTGTTTCCTATCAAATTGTAAACGAACATTACTTTCATTCTCAAATTATTCTCTCAGGCCATATTTCCCCAAAATAAAAATGAAAATTTTTAAATAACTCCTAAACGAATCCGGACATTATCGATCAAATGACCAATTTCTCGTTGTTATTAAATTTCTTGTGAGTAAGTCATCAAGTAATTTACAAGAAGTGAAAATATGGCCTATACGTTACAAAGTCCTGTGTATTTTATAATTTTCAACTCAATATTCAAATTAGGTGTATGACGCTGGAAGAAGATTGTGGACAACTAAAGGAGACGAGCTAGAAACGGCAAAGAAAGATTTCATCGAAGCCCTCAAGTTATTGGAAGCTGAGCTTGGAAAGAAGCCGTATTTCGGAGGTGAAAATTTCGGGTTTGTGGATGTGGCATTGGTTACTTACTCCAGCTGGTTTTACGCATACGAAACATGTGGCAATTTCAGTGTCGCAGAGCATTGTCCTAAATTGATGGAATGGGTGAAAAGGTGCATGGAGAAAGAGAGCGTCTCCAAGTCGTTGGCCGATCCTAAGAAGGTTTACGATTTTGTTTTGTTCTTGAGGAAGAAACATGGCCTTGAGTAAGTCGTATGGTTCTTGTGTGTTTAGATCGTATCTATATATGTTGTATGGCTATCTATATATATTGTCTATGTGCTTGCGGTGTGTGTGTTTTTCGTTGTTCCCGTTTTTTTTTTGTTGGAATAATGAAGGCGTTTGTGCCTTTTTATGGTATAGTAAGCGTGGTTTACTCGGTGGTGAACCGCGCGATGCTAGACATTGTTACGAGACGCATGTTTAGTTTTTTTATTCGTGTTGATTTTTGTTTATGTTATGTGGATCGTTTGTTTTTTTCTTACTGCGTGAAACGAAGGCAGTTGTGAACTGTGATTCGTTAATTGATATATGTTTGGGCGAAATTGAAGACATTTTCGTAGCGTAATTTGAATTGATATTACTCGACTATATAAATTATTTGAAAATACACTCTTACTCTGTTGTGTTGTGTTGTATTGTACTAAGCTATCACAATTAACACCTAGTCGCAGGTAGTTAGGCATCGCCGCACGATTAATCGATGCGGTGGTGGATAATCGTCGATAGATTGAAAATAAGATTATAATACAATAAAAATCCGTACAAAGTACAAATAAGATGTACTTTTTTTTGCATAATTATTCAGAGTTAATAGCATAGAGCCCCCTGTGTAATTTCGAATTGCCAAAAAAGCCCTCATGTTAACAAAATTAACAAATAACCCCCTATGTTGTGTTTTGTTTAGCATACTGTCCCTTATACGAGATTCTGCTATTGACCAAGTTGAAATGACAAGATTACCCCTACATTAAATAGAATAAATTACCTCCCAAACTTAAAAATTTTCACTTCAGTCTCACCATACAAACAAACTAGAATCACGTGAAAAGGAACAAAAAATATATATAATAACAAAAAAGAATTAGTAAAAAAGAAAACAGAACGAGGCATCATGTTCATAGATATCTGACTTGTTCCTTCAGAGATAAATTGATGGATCATCCATTATCGGAATCTTTGTTAAATATGTGGACGTTGTTGTGGTTGCACTTACGAGGGAGGGTTAGGGCGCGATCTAGGATTTGGTTAGATCGGCAGAGACATGATGGAGTGGACGGTCGTGGTCCTAGTGGGCAGCGGCGTGGTGTGGCGAGGTGGGGCGGCAGAGCCGAGGTGGCAAGGACTAAGGAGAACTTAGGTCTGATGGCGAAGAGGGCTTATTTGAAAATGCCATGGACTGAATTCAAATTTTTTTTAAACTTCATTTTAGTGCTTATAAAATTTTCGGGGTGATTTTGTAATTCTTGAAATTATGATTAAGGGTAATTAGGTATTTTTAGGTCAAAAAACGCAACCCCGGTTGCATAATGCATGCGTGCAGCGCACGATTCGCTGTCAAGGGGCTTAACGCCTTTGACTAACTTTCATAAAGGGGCTTTTTGCTAAATTTTTTAACATGGGCACTTTTTCGGAAATTAGAAATTACACATGGGAGGTTCTTGCAAAAAAATCCAATTATTCATGAACATTGCAAGCATATATCATTAGGTCCTCTAAAAATAACAATAAACTTGAATAAAACAAAGCATAAAACTCATTTTCTTTTATTAAAAGCGCAGTTTTTGTTTTGGATTAAAAACAGAAATAAAAAACAAATAAAATACAAATACAAATTGATTTTTGGCCATTTTTATCATTAAAGTTTGACCCGCCTCCAAGGTTTGACCATCTCAACCCTTCTCGGACCGTCTCGAATCACCTCACACGCCAAAACTTGAATTTTCTGACCATCACACTGAATTCGTAAAGGTATTTGACCACCTCCACATCAGAGACTGATTAATCAACTGTCTTGGACGATTTTTAGAACATTGTTTAACCCGATGCATATATTAAGCTACATTGAACTAGGATATACGTTATTAGTCCGCATAGCTATAGCTCAACTAGTTTCGGGTGGTAAGTTGGTGCAAGGTCATAGGATCGAATACTGACAGCCGCATAACAGCTGCAATGTGAGAATTTCAACTCCAGTGAGGGTAGTTTCTTGTGGACATCAAGTCATGATCCGCTACCCTAAAGGGCCATTGAGCCACCATGAGTTAGATTCCTCTATCGAATACTTATCGAGAGCTAAGGGATGGGAGTCCTGAGGACGAGGAATTTCGCGTTTTGGTGCAAGGATATACATTATTAAGTATAATAAGTTAAAATTTATTTAAAGATCACAAATTTAAATTTCTTGGCAAAATTATACAAACTATTAGATATGTACGTATATTTATTATAATATTATACATAATAATTAATAATCTCAGCACACATACTGGTAACAAAATTCAGTTGCAAAATTAAAAGGGGCTCTTTGAAATAATTACATGTTTCTTTTGTTTGAACTAGATCGATCCCAATTCCCACCATATTTTTATTGGGGTAAAAAAGCAATTTGCCCTTATACTTAATATCCTTTTGCATTTTGCCCCTTAAACTTAAGATCGTTTTGCAATTTGCCCCTAAATAAAAAAGTTTGCACGTTTATATTTGAACTCATTAATTTGTTGCAGGATGCCCGCAAACTACTTTTCACGCAAATTTTGGCCAGAATATTTAACACATGCGTTGCACGTGAGATTTGCAGGGATAAATCTCACGTGCAACGCATGTATTAAATATTCCGGCCAAAATTTGCCTGAAAATTAGTTTGGGGGCAGCGTGCAGCGAACTAACAAGTTGAGGTAAAAATGTGCATTTTTTTTATTTAGGGGGTAAAGTGTAAAACAGCCCTAAATTTAGGAGGCAAACTGTTTTTTCTATCCTTTTTACTAGGCTCCTTCAACCCTACATCCGGTGATAAACACCAGGTGGGTCTTGTGTTGCCATGTGTCCTTTTCTCATTTTTCTAAAACCCCTAAAGATAAACTCAAGCGTGAAAATATATTATAAAATAATAAATGACACGTGTCAGCAGATGACCCACCCGGTATTTATCATCGAGTGTAGGATCGAAGAAGTTCTTTTTACTAATACGAAGACCCCTTATTTTTCATAATATCATACTTACCTCTTCCCCTCTACTCACTACTCATATCTGGTTCCATTTTTTATTTATTTACTTATTATTTCATTCTTGTGGCAGGTTTAGCTAAAATTGTGGTTAATTAGTGTAATCGAGTAATAAGATCATAATTGATTGGCATGGCAGACTACTAAAATGGTAAAAATGACCTTTATTCTTTATAGTCCTATCGATAACATCGCATATAATTCAAGCATTTAAATTTATAAAGGATCTTGCTATTTGCAGTGGGAGTTTTACTAAATGCGGCGGAATCTTATTCATTTGATTTTTTTTTTACTTTGAAATTCTCTCTCACTCTCCCAAACCCTCGTAACACATTCAAACTTCGAAAAAATCTCGGCTTCCAATCCGTAGCGTGCGACTCTCGATTATGGTATTTTTTTTCCTAATCTTAGTGCTTTCAATCAATTTCATTTACAATTTAGTTAAAATGCGTGTTTAGGATTAGATATAGTGATTTTTCGAGAAAAAAAAAGTGGTTGTTTCATGTTCTAAAGCACGCAATCCTGAATTGTTTTTGAAGGTTTAGTTCTCTAGATCATGAAACCCTGAAATTTTTTGAAGGTTTAGTACTTTAGAGCACGAAACATAGAAAATTTTGGAGGGTTTCATGCTCTAGAGCACTAAACCTTCAGATTTTCGTGCTCTAGAGGAAGAAAACCCCAGGGTTTTCGTTATGTGGATGACTAAACCTCTAATTTTTTTGAGGTTTCGTCTTTTGTAGGACGAAACCCTCAATTTTCAACAATTTCAAGGAGTATCATTCTACAAAAAATGAAATCCCTTTTTTGTTCTACTATCATGATCGTTTTACCTCGTAATAGTAATCGGGATCGGCCATTGAAGTTGTTGCTGTTGCTCGGCAGCAAATTTGTCAAACGACCTTCAGATTCTTATATTTTGATTTTTTTGAGTTGAGAGAATGTCTATTTTTTTAGAAAATTAGAAAAAGGAGAAATTAGACTACGCTGCAAATAAGCCAATTTCAATAAAAGTCTGGCTGCAAATAGCATTTCAAATTTATAAAGAAAAATAATCGATAGTTCGTTGAAAGTCCTTTCACTAGTACCATTTCATCGCTATATTAAGGATTATAATTTTCATTAATACGATAAACTTAATAAATAAATAAAAGAAGAAAGAAAAAAACAAAACAAAACCAAAAACTAAAAACAAATCTTTTATGTGCATTAATTCCCACAAATCCAGCACCAACAAAAAATTGCATCAACCACAGCAAAAATTGGTAAAAATCCGCAACCTACAATCCTAAAATCTCATTAACCAAAAAAATCATTATATACTTGCAATACAGTACAGAGCCGGCCTTGGGGGTAAGCCAGGGAAGCCTTGGCTTAGGGCCCCACCCCACAAGGGGGCCCCACAATTTTTTTCATAAATCACTATATGGCCCAAATAATTAGTTATATAGCACATTTTAGTCCTTAAATATTTTATTAGATGTTGTTTTAAGCTATATGTTAATGGAATATTTTATAATCTCAACTATTCAAAAAATATAAAGAAAGACCAATTTAAATATTGTGTTTTGTAGATAATATTGTTTATGAATTAATTATATAATTACTTATAGTATGTTATTAATATCCAAATGTATATGCCAATTTTTTTTAAGATTATAATTAAATCTTAAACTAAACATTCATATCACAAAAAGATTGAAACGAACTGTTGTCGGTTGAGACGAACAATATAATGATCAATATATGTACTTTTAATAATTTTGATCAACGATTGTTTTTTTTCCTCCACATAATGTGTTGTTTATGCATGAAATAGATGCATATATCATTATGTCATCAAATGTTTTTACAAGCCAACAACATTAAGGTTCGTATTTGATATATTTCAAATTCACATTGTTCTTTTCAATAAAATAGAAAAAAAGTTTGTTTATTAAATAAGACATTTGTTAGAAATGTGTACCAATAACAATATAATTTATAAGATACTATTTAAAAAAATCAAAGTAATAATGTTAAACTCCGCTTAGGGCCCCCAAATTCTCAGGGCCGGGTCTGATACAGTACAACTACGTACTAAAATCCTAGTATTCAACTATTGATTTGTGACATTCAATATTAAAGTAATGATAATCAACTACGAAATTCTTAGTAGTCTGCTTTGAAATTGTGAGTCAACTACTCCCATTATTCCATATTGTTTTGAGTAGTTGCTCGTATATTAAGAAACTCAATAAATATGCATATATTATTCCAAAAATAACATCGTAAATACGAAACTACCCTTGTCATCAATTACTTTTCAACTAACTAATTAAGAGTGATAAGGGGCAAAATTGATAAAATGCAATTTATTCTTTATTAAAACTCTAAAATGACAAATAGGACAAAAAAAAAAAGCAACCTGAAAAACAAATAATATGAGAAAGAGAGATCAGTACTTAATTTGAGAACATGCTAAATTATTAACTCGATAATTTAATATTTCGTTAAAATAATAGAAATTTGTTAGTATTGTATTTCTAATTGCAAAGGATTCTCATTGCTTGCTTTTGTATGAATCGTGGTTCCCTTTTATCTTAATTTTTTGTTCTAGGGGTATATTACAACCAAACCCCTGAGTTATGGTCAAATTACGAAAATCTTCTTTCTGTTTGGGTAATTACAACCACCCCTTCAACTATAAATCTTCTTACACGTCCATCCCTGCAATTTCAAATTTAGTGGAATCTTAAAGATTATATGGAATATTCTCAATTTAAGACCCGTTTTATCCCATTCGAGCTCCACATTTTGAAGCTATATGAGTATAAGATGTGTTTTTTGGCTTGTATATATCATAAACTGTATTTCTGTATAAAACAAGTACAAACTAGAGAACATTCCACGTAATATAGATGATTATGTTGAATTTGACACCATAATAATAGAAATGTAAGAAGAATCATAATTGAATGATAGATATAATTATTCAAACATAAGAATTTTTTTCGTAATTTTTTACCAGGGTAGTTGTCATTTACCCTTTTTTAATTTATTGAAAAATAGTATTACATGGAGAACAAGATTCAAAGTGGTCAATTCCAAAAAGGAAAGAACAAAAAATGAAAGATGATATTATTAATTTATTATGCACTTTTCTATGGCCCAATGAAATCACGTGCTTCTATCTTTAAGAACTCATTTGGCTTTACAGAATTTCTGACAAGGCTTTAGTAGGACTGTCTGTACATCCGATTATGTATGTACTTACGTCACATCTATATCACCAAAATAAAAAAAAAAAAAAAAAGTTTATTTGGAGCTTTATTTTTAAATAGATTAGTTGGCACTACAAAATAAAATCTCTTGAGTGACAACACTTATTTTTATGTAGTTAGATAAAAAGTGTTGTTACTAACGGGGTGTTGCTAATGCTCTATAGTGACAATAAATAAGGATTAAGTGACAACAAAAATAGCTATTAGTGACAATAAAAAAGATATTGTCACTTAATGTGTTGCAACTTTTGCATTTGTCACAATTGGGGTGTCGCTAATGCAACTTTTTCTTATAGTGTGAATGCCCCTAAAAACTATTTTCTATAATGAATATGACGTTGGCGACGGCGGCTATAGCGTTGGCGGCGATAGTGGTGGTGGATCTAGGGTTTCATATTAAATGTGTGTGGATCACTACAAATGATTCTGAATAACTGTGAGGGTCCATTTGGATGGAGGGATTTGGGGAGGGATTTGATTTGGGGAATGGATTTGAAATGACTCCAATTTTGGAGTCATTTGAAATCCATCACTATTGCTCCAAAATCAACTAAAAAGGATGGGTGGGGATTTAAAATCCATCTCCAAATCCCTCAATTTATTATGGATTTGAAATCCCTCCCCCAAATCCCTCCATCCAAATGCACCCTGAGTGTCTGCATATGGATGGTGACTAAGGTTCAGATGGAGGCTAGGCTTTTCAAATTGTGTGAGTACGAATGACTAAAGATGAATACGAATTACTGTGAGTTCTTTTGTTGTCTATGTATGACTACAGTCAGAAGGACAAAAAAAAAAAGACATTTTATTTTTATAATTTTCAATATTATATAAAAAAAATAGATTTTTATAATAATGAAAAAAAAAAGTGTTCTGCTGAATTCTTTTAACAAAAATGGTAGATGTAAAATTGTAAATATTGAATGAAAAATACGGTTTGAATGTTACTTGGTGCAGATTTCATTCGTATTTTGATCGTGGGCAATTTTAAAATGAATTTAGTAAATGATCTGAAACAAAAATTTAATTTAGCTTGTTATTTAATTTTAATAAATTTTATCATCGGGCATCTATATCTTAAGAGGTCCGTTGATTTAATTTGTTCATATAATTATGAGCTATTTCACGAAAGTGGGTGCATCCACATATTTATGAAAAAAAATTAAAAAGAAAAAAAAAAAGAAAAAAAATGAAATTCATATTACCACTTGCGACAAATAACATACAAGTAGTTTGATTAACCCGATGATCCTTAATCCTTAATCCTTATAGAGAACAATATCTTTCGGTTCTTTTTTTTTTCTTTTTTTCTTTTTTTTTTTTTTTTTTTTTTTTTTTTTTTTGTTATGGAGAACGACATCACATTTAATTTGAATTTTATATCGTCAATATTATATATTTGTAATGGTACATTTTATAATGAATGTATATAGATTTTTTGAGACGTTTTCATCCAACTAAAGTTTTTTTTTTTTCTTTGATTATTAAACTAGAAAAAATAAAACAGTGCATGTGATACCTCTAATTAGTTATGTTATCCACAGCCCACCAAAATCAATTTATATTTTTGATACAATGTATATACATTCTTATAAGGATCAAGTATAAATAACCCTTCAAGATATCCCTAAATTATAATTGCGAAAAAAAAAAGTTTTACATTATCTAGACAAATTACAAAGTGAACTTTGCGACACACCCCATGATATAAGGATCGTAATTGAAGGGTGTGTTTGCGACACATCCCATAATTCAGGGGTGCAAAGTGAACTTTACCCTATAAAAAAAATTGTGCTTGCGACCAAGTTGTAAGTGAAGAAATCGGGAAATTAGATTCAGCACCGAGTAATTATTAACCATGGATGAGTTTAAGTAATCATCCACTAGGCACCTATAAATATAAATATGTTTAATTATGGGCAGATATAAAATTAACAACAATCACCTGGTCATGTAAATAATCCAATGTAGCATCTAATTCACACATCAGAAGTAATTAATTGCACACAAGAGGGAATATTAATAATTAAAATATACACAAGAGGGGTTCTTTATAAATATTTTATCCTATGTTCAAATCTAAACCAACCCTACTCCCACTATTCCCTCTTTATATATATACATACAAATCTCTTCTCATTTCCTAAACCATAGTGCACTAATTTTGTCACTAACATCTTAAAATTAATCAATCTTTTTTTTTTCTTCAGAAAAGAATGGCGGACGAGGTTGTTTTGGTGGATGCGTACATTAGCATGTACGGTATGAGGGTTAGAATCGCGTTAGCCGAAAAGGGTGTCGAGTACGAGTTTAAGAATGAGAATTTGTTCGACAAAAGCGCGCTTTTGCTCGAGATGAACCCGGCTCACAAGAAAGTACCAGTCTTGATTCATAATGGAAAACCCATTTGTGAGTCACTAATAATTGTTGAGTACATAGATGAGGTTTGGAAGGATAATTCTCCTCCATTGTTGCCACGTCATCCTTACCAAAGAGCTCAAGCTAGGTTTTGGGCTGATTTTGTTGACAAAAAGGTATCAATTTTTTGGTTATTATATTGTTTATTTTGATTCTTTATGTTAATGTCTACTTAGAGTGGCTTTTAAATTGTATAGAATATTATGTTTGGAGATACAATGTCAAATAATCCACTTCATTTTAGATGAAGTAGAGATTATTCACTGTGATTTATATCAGAGTCATGTCAAATAAAATGTTATTTATTGTTAGAACTGCACTTTTTCATTGAAGATAATATATATTAGTTAAAATTGTCCAATTAGGTGAGTGTTCCAGGAAGAAGGATATGGTTTACTAAAGGAGACGAGCAAGAAAAGGCGAAGAAAGAATTCATCGAGGCTCTCAATTCGTTGGAAGAAGAGCTTGGAGAGAAGACTTATTTCGGGGGCGAAAGTTTCGGGTTTGTGGATTTGGCGTTAATTCCGTTCTATAGTTGGTTTTACGCCTACGAAACTTGTGGCAACTTTAGTATTGAAGAGCATTGCCCTAGATTGATTGTGTGGGCCAAAAGGTGCATGGAGAAAGAGAGTGTCTCGAAATCGCTGGCCGATCCTAAGAAGGTTTACGATTTCGTTTTGCTTCTAAAGAAGAAGTTCTGCGTGGAGTAGGCGTTGACTATTTTTTTTTTTTTTTGAGTAGGCGTTGACTATCGTATGTTGTAATCGGTTTAGATTCATTTAATATGGTCGCTTCTCAAATCGTCTAATTGTGTTTAGTGTTGTGTGTTTTCGTTTGTTTCCTTTTGACGAGAAAAAGAAAAAAGGCGTTTTCGCAAAATTTAGTTTCCTATGTGGTAAATTAGATAAATGTTAGATTTTCTTTGATATATTGAAGGTGTTTTAATAATAATTAATGGAAAAAAAAAAAAGTGCATTACAAACACTGAAAATTAAATCAGACATTGAGCTGGAAAATTACTACTAACCAATTTTCAAAAGTTTTTGCAAACACTACAAAAATGTGTAATAACTATATCAGTAAATTATAAATGAAACCTTAAAATCTCCGAAAATTACAAGAAATTGTGAAGGTCCTGAACATGATACAACTCACCAATAAGTAAACCCGATATTAATAAAATCGACACTCTCAATCGGCTTACGATATTCGATGCTAGACGTACGGAGAGTGACGTCATCTAACATCGAATCGTACCCAAACTCATCTAAGAAAACAAAGTGACACGATCTTGATCACATCGGAAAGAAAATATCAAAAATTCGGTTTTCAAACTTTTCTCACTATTTCCCCGAAATGAAATTATGTTTTCAAAATTTTCAAAAACTTTTAGAAAACTTCTCTCCTATAAATATTCGACTGTAAAATTAAAAAATGTTTGCACTAAACTATAAACAAATATCACTTTATTTAATAGATTATTATTTCAAAGGTAAATTACAACCACCCCTAAAGTATGGTCAAATTACAAAAACCCCCTCTTGTTTGGATAATTACTGTTAAGTGTATATTTTTATACTTTATCGTATCTTTTTATTTGAGCTTTTGGTGTGTTTTAACGATAATTGGTGCTTAAAAAGTTGATTTATTGTATTTTAGGTACAAATTGAAGAATTGGAAAAGTATGGGGTCAAAACTGCAATTTTGGAGAAAATATGGGCCAAAAGTGAAAAAAGCAGAATTCTGGAGAATAGACCGCGCGGCCGTGCGGATTTTAAGCATAAATCTCACACGGCCGTCCGGATGGGCGAGTTGGCGCAGTGAAGGAATCTTAATTGTACAAGGAAACTGTCTTCTTCCCCAAGTTCTTCACCCTATATAAGACCAAGCCAAGCACACAATTAGGGATCTATCTCTTTACGCAATTTCAAGGGCAACAAAGCAATAACGAAGACAAAGAATTCGAAGACTCCAAGCAAAGATTTATCGTCTATGATTTATTTTATTTGCGTTTTTGATTTAATTATGAGTAGCTAAACTACTTATTTCTAGGATTTTATTTGGAACCCTATGTGGGATTTATGAACCCAATTCTATGATTTTATGCAAGTTTTAATTCCGGATTATTTCTTCTACTTGTTTTATTAAGTGCATGAACTTGATCAACTTATGTGCTTTTATGTTATTGTTAATCGCATGAATCGGAAGATCGGGTTAATAATTAGAACTGTGGTAGAAGAGCCTTTGTGGTATTAACATAGGAATATAGTTAATCTCTTAGGTAGCCATTATTGAGATTTGTGCTTAATGCTGTGTTCTAGAATTAATTGCATAGGAATATAGTAATTGAATCTAGAGTATTAGAATCGTAATACACGCGGAAGCGGGTTATGATTATTTTAGCATCTCAGGTTAATAATCCGGGTTAATTGCTTGCATAATTGAGGGAATTGGGGGAGTAATAATCACATAGGGGGAAGAATAAAATCCTAGGCTTGTCTACTTTGATTAAATCTTCGTTTTTAATTGCTTTCTTGTTTTTGCTTGTTTTTAATTTAGTTTAATTTAGTTTATTCTCTCAAAACTCGACTGTGTAGGGTGGGCTTGATAATAATTGGTAGAATTTAGCGTCTAGGATTAAGTAATTAAATATTCCCTGTGGGTTCGATATCCGGACTTAATTGTCCACTATATTACTTGTACGATACGTGCACTTGCGTGTAGGTTTTCGACCAACAAGTTTTTGGCGCCGTTGCCGGGGAATATTTTAATTATTTATTTTATTCTAGCTCTAGATTTGAACAATTTTCACGATTCACCCATTTAATTTTCGTTTTATTTTATTTTTGTTTTAGGTACGTTGTATGCGCAGGAGACTCGATCTTGCTAGAGAACCGTTTGATCCCGAAATCGAACGAACTTTTCAAGCCGCTAGGAGACTTCAACGCGAAAATTATAGAATGGAGGACGAAGAACGCATACGTGCAGAGGGTAATTTACTCAATGCCAACGGGAACCAAGTCCAAGACCCACCCCTTCAACTTCCATTACAGCCAGCAGCTAGGCCACGGGCACTTCAAGATTACATAATCCCGACTCATGACGGATTCCGGCCGAGCATCCAATATCCACCCATTGAGGCGCATAATTTTGAGATCAAACAAGGCCTTTTGACGATGCTCCAAAATAACGGGCTCTTTAGTGGGTTGGCAGGTGAAGATCCCCATCTGCACATTGTCAATTTTCTAGATACCTGTAACTCCCACCGTCAAAACGGCGTTTCCCAAGAGGCGCTTCAATTAATTCTCTTCAAGCACTCCCTACAAGGAAGAGCTCGCCAGTGGTTGATGTCCCAAGCCCCCCACTCTATCTCGTCGTGGCCTCAACTCCTCAACCTTTTCATGAAAGTCTATAGCTCACCCGAGAAGGACGAGAGAATCCGGCGAGAAATTCACAATTTTGTCCAAGAGCAAGGCGAGCAATTATACGAGGCATGGGAGAGATTTAAAACTCTTTTGCGGCAATGTCCAACACATGGAGTCGAACAATGGCGGCAAATCCACATCTTCTACCAAGGGATTAACGAGAATGCGCGAACGGTCTTAGATGCATCCACCGGGGGAAATTTTATGAGTCAATCGATACCGGATGCTTTCATCATGTTGGATCAAATTGCTCAAAATCGGTTTGCCAAGTCAAGCGAGAGGACGGTTAGTGGAGCCAAGAAAGTTCCCGGAGTGTTGGAGTTAGATGCAATTACGGCCCTTCAAGCTCAAGTGACCCAAATTGCTCAACAAAATCAACTCCTTCTGCAGCACATCAAAGCAAGTCCACCACAACAAGTCAAAGCAATTGAATCTCCATGTTGTGAAATTTGCAGTGGAAATCACTACACGCTCCAATGCCAACAAGATGTGGAGTCGCTCAACTACGTCAACAATGCGCCTCGCCAATTCCAAAATCAAGGGTGGAGATCACAAGGGCAATATGGAGGAAATCAACAAGGCCAAGGATATCAAAGACCTCAAGGTCAATTCCAAAATCAAGCCCCTCCTCAACAAAGCTATCAAGGCAACAATCCACCGGCCCAAAAATCAAACACGGATGAGATATTGGCCCAATTCATGACCGCTACCCAAGCCTCGTTGCGAAATTTGGAGAATCAACTCGCTCAATTAGCTTTGAAGCAAGAGAACCGCCCGCCGGGAGCATTGCCATCGAATACGGAAGATCCTCGAAATCAAAAGTTCGAGACGTGCCAAGCTATCGATGTCAAGAGCGAAAAAAGGGAAGAAATTCAAATCAAGCCGCAAGTCACTGTAGCCGAATGGGTCGAGCCGATCCCATATCCACAAAGATTGCTAACGAAAAAGATCGAGGTCGAGACATGCCAAGCAGTCACCTTGAAGAACGGTAAGCAATTGGAGGAAGCCCCACGAAAAGAGAAGAGAAGCACGGTAATCGAGAAGCCGAAAAAGAATGAGGAAAAAGAATCATCTCATGACGAGCCACCATCGACGGTGCCTTCACAAGTCCCTCCAATTCCTTATCCTCAAAAGTTTATAAAGAAGAAGCTCGATGCCGAATATCAAAGATTTTTGGACAAGTTGAAGGAAATTCGCATAAATATTCCTTTCATTGAAGCACTACAAAAGATGCCAAAGTGGGTGAAGTTCCTCAAGGACCTCGTGAAGAAAAGTAAGAAATTGCAAGGGAACGAGATGATCCAACTCACGGAGCAAATTAGTGCGATTCTTACTCGGCCTCTTCCACAAAAACTCGGCGATCCAGGTAAGTTTACTATTCCATGTACTATAGGAGGTAAAAATTTTAGATCGCTCATTGATTTAGGCGCTAGCATTAATCTTATGCCGTACTCTACTTTTAAAAATCTTGGGTTAGGAGAAATTGAACCGACGGCTATAACTCTTCAATTAGCCGATAGATCTTTAGTTTACCCAAAAGGTATTTTAGAGAATGTGCTAGTGAAAGTTAATAAATTTATTTTCCCTGTTGATTTCGTTATACTTGATATAGATGAGGATAGGGAGATACCTCTTATCGTAGGGAGACCGTTTTTAGCCACGTCGAAAACTCTCATTGATTGTGCTAGTGGTGATCTTACAATGACTGTGCATGATCAAACAATCAAATTCAATGTTTCCAGTGCTAATAAAAATCCATGTGAAAATAATGATTGTTTTGCTATTGAGCTTATGGATTTTACAAATAATGAAAAGTTTGATGTTTCGATCTTGGACAATGGG